GCTCTTAATTATGGACATCAGCACGTTGAAAAAAAAATGGAGGCAAAATCAGCACTGATTCGAGAGAACGAATAGAGAGCTACCAAGCGTACTATACACGACTAATCCATATAAATTCTCACCGCAAAGTATGCATTGTGCGATGGAATAACCGTTTAATGGGCCTGGGGAATAAAAATTGCTCAGTGTGGTCAAACTTTATGCAAAAATAACTAAACGTGCCAGTGTATTAATCAAAAAGGAGCATACCAGAGCAACGCTGTCGTAGCACTCTTGAAGAGCAATCATTTTCAAACGATACCGCTCCTCTTCTTCAACTTTTGCATCCGGTGGCTCAGTAGCTACATTTGAAACGCTGTCCACAGCACTCATCTGAAAGAAAAATGCTCCCACATATCCTTTCCATTCATGTACTAGGTTGATTTGAAATTTTTTGAACCATAAGGTGTTATTTTGCTCTACAAAGCAATATACCGCGATATTATCCTAATCAGGTATACTAGCCATACTCGCGTACTCTCATATCCCTTCATACAACCATACGAAGCAAGAAAAATGCAGTAGGAGCTCAAAATATATAATGATATAGTCAGGCTCCATGGGATTAACACCTTTCATAGGGTTTCGTTACGTCCACGTGGAAAGAAAGGACTTCAAGAATTTGAAGAAAATACTTTGCCTCGCGCCATCCTACATTTTGAGAGATGGCATCGAACTGTTTGAGCTTGGAGTACTGATAGGCACATTGGATCTACAACCTTGCGCTCTACAATTTTTATATTCGAACGAATGTCTTAAACTTCCAGACCTAATGATCAAGTTCTGCTATACGAGGGCAGGAAACAACCAGCAAAAATCCCTAAAAACGCTAAGATAAAATATTGAGTATTTTGGCATATAAATGCAAATTTTGAAGCATTTTTTGTACAATCCAATGACAAATCCCCTCATCTCGCACTCAACTTTCACAGGAGATTTGGCGAAAAAAATAAACAATGTGATATCCAATACTCACTAACCTTTAGATGGCGCGGTGCCACTGACTTGGATGTGCCATATGTCGACGTGGATAACAGGGCAGCCGATTCTTCACCTCGCACAAGTTGGAGACGGTCGCCATGTCACGAGTTGCCGCAGACGCGCGGCGGCAGTGAACGCGACGCGTCCGATATCCCACAGCTGGGACGTACGTAACCATTTCGAGTGCGATGTCCGCCGTGTGCTCTAGCTCACTTCTGGATTTTATTATGATTTTCCAGCTTCTAAACTATTGCGGTTTATGCGACGTGAACCATCTGTACATTTACGTCAATTCATCGCTTGCACGTGATTTCCAGCATGTCTGTCACTATCGCCCGTGCAAATCAATATCCATCCATATCGAAACTCCCTATATTTTTCGTACGGAGTAGCAATGAAATTGTTAGGACGTTTTCTGCCGTATTCTTCGTTTACTTATTAACCCTCCCTTCTTCACTTTCCCGTTTTCTTGTGACTTAGCCGCTGTTCATCCATCATCATACATTGGACATGATTGCAAGGAAACCCTTGCTGTAATCGCTACCGAAGCACTTATCTAGTGGAAACGTCTCTTTGCCTAATTCTAAACCTAAGACTTCTTCCATTGCACTTTAATACCTATGGGGCTTTCAATATAAGACCTGTAGTTATGTTTAGTTAAGCTTTATTTAGCACGCTAGTTTACTAGCAGCTCCTGACTCAGTTTCAAGTGGTTCCACGAAGACTTCTTGTAAATAAATATCAATGTTTACATTGGCAAAGTGTCGGCTGAAGTGGGATCTCTTGTTTGGTTTAAGGACTTTTTACCCTTCCTAATTGTCTTTATGTAAATCAATCATCGCATTGTGATTAGTAAAAGTTGTACGATCAAATACATTCTAGACTCACCCCTCTTATCTCTAGCCAAGCTGCTCCTTCCTTATTCTCTTCGGCTGCTGCGGTGTAGAATTTCTCATCATTATTTTTTGCAATACTCTTATTAGATGTAGGGTTCAAATTGCCGTGGCAACTGTAGGTGTCGCATTACTCACCCGCTGTAACTGGAAGAGTGAGTCAAACGTTGACTCAGTGCAACCACCGTGATACAGAATGTCGTAATGGGGATGGACGACTCGATGCGTTCCATTGCATTTCATCGTCCTCAGCTCATAGTACGACAGGTTTGACCTGGTTTTAGGCAGCCAGCGAGATGTTTTTTAGGCCCGTTAGGGACGCGACGATGCGATAGTGTCCACTCATTTACGCTAAGGTTTCTGGAGCCGTGAAACTCGTTCCTCAGCGGTGCAAATGGCGGTGACTGTTTGCATGTCAGCTTATGACGGTTTACGGACTAGGTGTCGGTTACCGATAGATGCGAGTCCCGGGTGTGTTTATTTGCTCTTGCGCGGTCATTCCGTGCAAGCTACAGCGCTGCATCCGAGATTGTTCGAGTGTTCATTCTCGATGTGACGTCATTCGTCCTGTGCGGACCGACGGCCTTCACTCGAAAGACACCGAGCATTAGGCGATGTCGCCTTCATTTTAGAAAGATTGTCGTCTTTCTCAGCCTTGTTGTTGCCGTTTTTGCCGTATCAGCGCGTCACATGTTGAGAACCTAAAATCTTGCGCAGTTCCATTCACATCCATACATACAAGCACTGCGTTGGAACCA